GTTTGTCTATCAAAATGGAGGGACATTTAGTTTATAATAAGCCGCCTTCGAACGGCTGTTTTTTTTTATGAGAAGTCTTTATTTCGTGTCAGAAACACACTCGGAGAGATTGACATTCCCTGCCAATGGTCGATCGTAATTTAAAAATTGTCTTAATTTTCTATTTTAAATTAATTTTCTATAACTTTTGGACGTGGGTCGAGCCAGGACTTGAACCCTGGCCTTCTGAACGGCAGTACGAAATACTAACCACTCAGCTACCGCAGCCGTCATTATTTATTTTATACTAATTTAATTTGTTTCATTTTGTTTTATTTATTTTTATTTTATTTTATTTTATTTTATTTTATTTTATTTTATTTTATTTTATTTTATTTTATTTTATTTTATTTTAATTTATTTATTTTATTTTATTTAATTTTTTCTTATCTTATTTTATTTCATTTAATTTTTTTACTTTATTTTTTATTTGTTATTAATTTTATTTTATTTTACCTTATTTTATTTCATTTCATTTTTATTATTTTATTTTTATATTTTATTTTATTTATTTCTTTTATATCTTTATTTTCATTAATTTTATTTTATTTTATTTCATATTATTTTAGTTTATTATTATTTTTTTCATTGTATTTTAGTTTTTTTATTAATGTATTTTATTTTGTATATTTAATTTAGTTTAATATATTTTATATCCTTACTTTATATATTTAATTTTTTATTATTTTATTTTATATTGGTTTTCTTTTGTTTACTTTAATTTAATATATTTTCCATTTATTACATTTTATTTTATCCTTTGATAAAATTTGTATGTCATTGAAACATATTATTAAGTGATCAACAAGAACAACTCAATAGTATTATGTGGCGAAGTACCAATTGAATATTATAATCATATGAAACAACCACGACTATCATTTTTTTAACGCTTTATTCATGTTGATCGTGTTGTACTCACGAGATATCGCACTTGCGCCTAAAAGACGAGCTACCAAACGACCAGCAAATCAACCGATCAGTGATCATGACCGCACATATCAATGTTTGTTTCTCCGTCAGTCTGTATTTCTGTTTTTGTTGTAATATTTAAGCAAACACCAACAATAACAACAACAAGAAATCGAGCGAATTCACTGCGCAAAATTGTACATATATATGTACATATGTATTTTAATTCAATAATCATTTTCAGTGACGATCACCTGCGCTTCCCCAAAATCGCATACAAACACACAAAGCAAAAATGAAAAAAAAAACGAAAAGTGCAAAGTACGGGTGTGTAGAAGCAACTCAGCTGAAGAAATTTTTTTATTTTTACTAACCGAATGATCGTACATCTACGTGTACGCTATAGCAATTGCTGCCACATAATATCTATAATCAGGCACACGTACATATAATAATATTGGCTAAAGAACTGTTATTAGGATAATCAAATGGGAATTATCATGAGCAACGATCGACAATTTGGCAGCAGGCAGGCGGACTAGCAGTGACCAAGGCGCATCGTTCATCGGCCCAAGATACAGCTAAAAGCAACAATGGAAGCAAAAGTAGTATGTAGCAACAACTACAACAACAACGAATGACTACCGCTTGTCGATTCAGCAGCTAAGAAATGGCAGTTAGATGAATAACGTTGCTGCTGTATGCCTACCGCTATACACTTTGTTGTTGCGTTGTTTGCCTTGTTGTATTCGTGGGTTGCTGCCGTCTTGACGGTGGCTCATCTTTTTCGCGATCTGTGTTGAAGTGCGTTGCTGATGTTGTGCGGATATTATTGAGCATATCTACGCGTCGTGCTTTTGTTGCATTTTTGTTGCGCTCTTTTATTGCCAATATTAAATATTATTATAAATTATAATTTTTTGTTGTAGTTGTTGTTGTTGCGCGTATTTCTGCCTCATAATCAATCACAAGCGCATAATCCATCACGATCTTGCGGTTCTGTAAGGAATGGTGTAATTGCAAGCAGCAGAGCGTATGTATGTGTATGTAAGTCAGTATGTGGGGCACATAAATTACAAGTAGAAGCGAGAAAATTTACTTATTTTGTGGGCAATTGAAATTTTCGAGAAAAACAAGTTGCGAATAATTACCGGTGCAATGTGATAAAAAATATTGTACTATATGTGCTCATAAGTATATATTCTTTTGTGGGTATATTAAAATTTGTATGAGTTGGGTTTTGATATCTACAATACCTACATTTTTTACTACTATTTTAATAGTTTTTGCTCCGCTTTTAAAAATATCTCATTCTAACTCGGTTTTTGGAACTAAATTAATTTATTCTTAGCCATTTCAAATAATACTGTCAAAAAGTGAATTTAACTCATACCTTTTTGTACATATTTTGCTACCTTTTTTTGTATTACTTTGTCTATTATTTTTTAGTTGTGTTTTATTTTTATAAACTAATGTGCTCGATAATGTGGCCCCAAAAATGTGTGTTTTATTCAGCATTAAGTAGTTACGGAAATGCTACTATTTTCATTATTTATAATACAACTACTACACTACCAGCTCTTATATTTTGGATTTTTCTTGCGTTTTTCCAATTAAACTTTCCTTAAACAATTTTTCTATATTTCTACTATCTTTTCTACTACTTTTTCTGAGGTATTTGCAGCTATTTTTGCTCCCATTTTGAGTATTTACGCAGCTATTTTTTCTGTAAAATGTTTATCACTTTTCCAAAACTTTTATAATTCCAATTCTACTTGATTTCTTCTGAAGAGCATTTAATACTTTTTATTTTATTCTCTTAAATATCTTTCTCCGGTTAAAACAGATTCTGGATCTAAGATCTCTTACTACTACTTTTTCAAACTGTATTATTATTTATTTTTGTTTAAATTTATCTCTCTTCCTCTTTCGTCTTAAAGCATATTAAATTTCAATATTTTTATACCGAATTTCTACTACTATTTTTTAAGAGTTTTATATTGAGTTCGTAATTTGCTTACTGTTTCTAAATATTTTAATTGAAAATTTTACTAGAACTCTACTACACTTTTTCTTACTACCTTTTTTACTGTTAATATATTTTTGCTATAAAAATTAAATTTTTTTAATCTTAAATTTGGCAATATTTTCAACCAATTAATGCCAAAGATTTTTAAATTTTAATCTTACAATCCAAGCGTATGCTACTATTTGTGTAACATTTCCTACTTTATAATAAAAATAAGCTTGTCTAAGACAAGCGATAGGCAATCGTACCTTTCTACCGCGAACTACGGCAGCGATTAGCTGCTTTACAATCTGCTGCATTCGATATCTACCCGCAATGTATACACATTTATACACACACACACACGCACACACATATGGATAGAGATTATTACTCGCTGCCTTAGGCCGAAAATCAATGATAATAATGATAATAACATTACATTTCGCCTTGCAACATTGAACATACGAAAGGACGAGACAAACAGCAAGCAAATTGCAGCACTGAACGCGAACAGTTGATGTAGAAAACCATATTGTTGCAAGTTGCATACAGTCTTGCGCTCCCCAAGATTTTATGGCAAAAAAATAAAAAATTATAAGAAAATAATAAAAATAAAAATTAAATAAAATTATTTTAAAAGCAAAATCGGCAAGCGCATAATCAAAATACATGTACATACATATAATAATGAATGCCACATAAAGCGCCAACAGCATGCCACATAAATCTCACTTGGTGTCTGCTAAATTATACATTTCAAAAAGCATTAGCTTTGCAGCGCTACCAACTCTAACCACACGCTCCTAGTAGAATTGGGAGCAAATGCGGCATGAATCATTTGAAATGGTGTTCCTTTTGCCTGCCACATGCCTCATAGCTGATGGCTTATGGTTGTTGGTCAGCGCAGAAGCTACAATTGGCGGCAGTTCTTGACAACTCGAGGTGGCAACTTTTGTTGTTGTTGTCGTTGCGGACGCACTAACGCGCTCACGCTACTCGCACTTTCCTGCCGCTACGCGCCAAACTACATACAGTGGACAACGGCGACTTGATCGATCGCTATGCCACATGGCTTAGGGATAAAGTTTAACGCGATTGTTTATGATACAAATTAAACAATTTATGACAATGCAGCAGCAAAACAACAAACACATACAACAAAGTGTTCATAATAATATATGTATATGTTGCAGCAACACTTGCAGCGAATGCAACACCGGCATTTACTCCATTTCAATAGTGGGCCTTTTGTATGCAAAACAACTGGACTCATGGCCGCCGCCAGTGGTGCATTGTGTTTTCGATACTGTTGTTGTTGTTGTTGTTGTTGTTGTTGTTGCACGTTGAATGACGTTCAGTGGCACCGCAGCAAGCGACGCACAGAAGCTTCAGGCGAAATTATGCTGTGTGGTGCGATCGATCTATAGAACGACCGATCGTTCGTTTGATCGCTTGATCGTCTGATCTTCTTCGTCCTCCGTTCGACGGTTGGCTTTGGTACTGCGACCACGGTGCTATACAGCTGCGGCTATAAATTATTTATTGCACATACACATATGCATATACACAGGCACATGGCGACGCATTGTTGCCGCCGATTTTTAAAACGTCATTTATTATAGAAATTTTATCGCTTCTGGTCTCGCACTTCGGCCAGCAAGTGAGCGATCCTGCTCACTCCTCTTTCTCCTCCTCCTCCTCCTCCGCTTTTAACTCAAGAGACTGCTGAAGCTGTGTTGTAATTTTTCGCAGATAATTTTGTTATCATACAAATATACACACACATATTTTTTCATATGGGTGGCTTACTTTTTAAATAAATTTTCCCATAATTGATTTAATACCTTCGATTATCTTTAATTTATTGTATATTTCTCTGCGCATAATTATATATTTTATATTTAAATATTTTTTGCATTATTAAATTTAGTAATTTTTCACTCATATTTGTGATATTTTTTAAAGATTTCTTTTAGTTTTCGCTTTTGTAATATATTTTTTATTAATCGTTCCATTGTTTCGTTTTGTCTACTTGCAGCATCCCGTATGCCATCGTCCCATACATCACCGCAAGTGTGTCGGCCGCACTTTCATCCGCCCCTCGGTTCATGGCTTACCAGCGAACATAAATCATTTGCACCCGCCAGCCCATGGGGCAGTCCGTTTGCATGCCCCCAAGATCCGCAAGTGGACCATAAGGTCAGCCAAATTGGTCAGAGTCATCAGACGACGGCCGGTCAGCATTCATTTCCATTCCCACCGACACCGCCAAAGGATTCCACACCCGATTCAGTACAAACCGGTCCATCGGAGTATCAGGTACGATAACAATTACAAAAAGAATTGAGAATTGCACAGGCGTTGGAAATTATTTTATAAAAAGAAATATTTGCATGAAATTCAAAATAGAGGGAATTAGCACTAAAATTAATACTGATATTAATATTAAATGAAATTTTATGTTTAGCAATCATTTATGTCAAACATTGTTCAATGCTAAATTATAATTCACTGCATAAAATTATGTCAAAGAAAAATCTCTGGTTAGGAATAATTTATGTTTGGCAATAATTAATGTTAAGCAATATTTGGTGCTAAATAAAAATTTATTGCTTGAAATTATGTTAAGCAGTTTTGTATGTTTAGCAGCATATGATTATGTTAAGCAATATTTTATGGTAGACAATATACAATGCTTATTAAATGTTATTGCCCGAAGATGTGTTAAACAAAATTGGATGTCAAGCAAAATGTTATGCTTATTTCGATATTAAATAAAAAATTACAGCTGAAATTTATGTAACAAAATTTTTTTTAGCTAGCAATATTTGATGGTTAGCAATATTTTATGGTAAACAATATTTTATGGTAAGCAATATTTTATGGTTAACAATACTTTAGTTTTAGCAATAACTAACGTTAACCAATTTATTGCAAAAATTATGTTAAACACTTCATTACGTTTAGCAATATGTTATGTTAAGCCGTATTTTATGTCTATAAACATTTTATATATATGATAACAATATTTTTTGTTTAATAATATAATAGTAATAATAATATAAGACAATATATCGAATTTTTTTGGAAGTTATGTTAAGCAAAATTTTATGTTTAGCAATAGTTTATGTTAAGCAGTATTCGTTGCTAAATTAAAATTTACAGAGAAATTTATGTAAAAGAAAATTTTTTGTTGATCAATAATTTATGTTAAGCAATATTTTATGTTTTGCAACAGTTTAAGCTATATTTATATTATTTCTAACTTTTAACACATTAACAACTTTATATTTCTTCTCTCTCTCTCTCTGTCTCTTTAGGCCGTTGTGAACGCATTCATGCATCAAGCGCAATCGACCGGCTCTACCTCAATAGCGGACACGAGTTGTGCGCTGGACATAAAACCCGCCATACAGAACGGTCTCGGCAGTCTGTCGCACAACGGCGGCAATCAACAGTCGTCCGCGGCGCCAAAACAGCGTGAAGGTACCAATAATAATAACAACAACAACAATAATAATACAAATAACAGTAACAATAACGCGACGAACAGCAGTAATTCGCATAACAGCAACAACAACAACAGCAGCAATAGTAGCAACACAGCGAACAATAACAACAACTCCTCCACATCGAACAGTAACAACCACAACGTACACGCACACACCTCCAGCGCCAATACCATCTCCGCCCTTAACGGCAGCAGCCTATTCGATGGCACAGCGCAAGCGCATTACGCCAATAGTCTCGGCAATAGCAGTAGCAGTCCACACGGCCTCGGCGGCAATGGACTCACAGCGAATAGCTCACTGAACGGTGCCGGTAGTAGCGCCAGTGCGATGGGTGGCTATGACGGTACATACGCTTCATATGCGGCCCATCATCATTTGGCGAACACCTCGGCGGCGGTGGCACATCATCAGGCTGCGGCAGCAGCGGCAGCGGGTATGTTTCAAAGTTCCTCAATGGCAGCGGCGGCTGCGGCGCGACACAGCATGTCGGGTGGCCATCATACGCATCATCATATGATGGGTGGTGCGTCGGCGGGCATGTCCACCGGTCTGGGGCAGAGTCATGGTGGTAGTGGTGGTATTGGCGGCGTTGGTATTGGCGTTGGTAGTGGCGGTGGCAATGGTGGTGGCGGCGGCAGTAGCGGCAGTTTGGGCTTGGGTGGCCTAGGCGGCGGCAGTTTGAGTGGCAATATGTCGAGTGGCCATCATGGTGGCCATCACAGCGGTCATGGTGGACATGGCAGTCATGGTCATGTACATAGCCATGCGCATAGCCATAGTCAGGATGTGAAGCCGGCGCGTACGAAACCGAGGACCAGTGCTGGTAAGCAAGACAAAAAGCCATGATCCATTTCATATGCAAATGTGATGGTGTGGGTGAATAATAATTGTATGTGATAGACAAAAAAAAAAAACAAAAAATGAGCGTTTGAGAGTGAAGTTGTGCCCACGATTAGTCGAAAATTTAAATAATTAAATGACGATAATAAAAGTGGTGAAAAATATTTTAACTAAAATTAAAATTAAATAAAAAATATTAATTTTTCAGCTATATAATAATAATATATAATATTAACAAAAGAAAATGTTTAAGCGAAAAATTTTGCTGTTGAAGCAAAATTGAAGTTTTATAGAATTTGAAAAATAAAATTCTTAAAATTTTCATATAAGGCACAACTCCACTCAGAATAATCATTTCTAATATTATCACACTTTTGTTAATTAAACAATTTTCACTAACACAAATATTATTTTTTATAACAATTGCATTTTTTTATATATATATATTTTTTATTTGTTTATTTATTATTTTAAGCTTAATTTTCTTATACAATTATATATTTGAATTACCGAAAATATTAAAAGAAGGAAATTTGGGTTTTAAGGAAAAGGAGAACAGCTGAAGATAAAAAGAACTTAATATTAAAACAAAATAGTTCAGAAACCGAAAAAAAATATGAAAATAGACATTTTCGTTGATTTTTTTTTTTGATGTTGGGATAAAAAATTTATAATGATTTAAAATCTTAGCTTAATAAAAAATCTATATAATTAAATTTGGAGTTAAAAATAAATTGACAAAAAAATATATTAATAATATCAGCAAACCAATATTCAAAAAAGAACTGAGAGGATGGATTTTACTTATAAAAGAACTTCATTTCCCATGGACATATGATATACAGCTGTTGAACTCTTTTAATTTAATGTTTATAATGGAAAACTCAAGGTCAATCCGGAGTGACATGAAGCTACTCAGTAGCGCAGTAAGAGATGGTATTTGCCAATAATAAAATAAATTTTTGATATGACTTTTTTTTATTTTTTTTTTTCAAACCAGTTCGATGAAAAAAATTAAGATTTTAACAAAAAAATACGAACTTAAAATATTTCTATATAAAATTAAAATCTAAAATAGATTAATAATATTTCGCTCCATTGAAAGTAAAGAGGCTTATGTTCTGCTCACACTTTTTCCTCAAATAAAAAAAGTCAAAAACTCCAACTAACCGATCGTGACTTTTATGTGAGAAACACAGCACACTTACTTGACTTTCAACTCAGTTCAAGTGATGCCTTTAGAAAAAGATGAAAATAAGTATAAACAATTACAACAAATAATTGTTTGCCTAACAATGCAGCAGCGCGCTGCTACATACCTCGAACACCCCCAACTTGCCTGCTAAAGTCAGTTTCCGTTCCATTTCTTTCCTGCTTAAGTGCACCACATATTTTACGTTAAGGAAATTCGCAGCATATTTTCCCGTACTTAGACATGCCCAGCAAGCAAATAGTAAGCGTTTGCGCCAACCAAAATTATTTAGTATGAGCGTCAACCCTACGCGCTTCCGCATGCCAGTCAGCCAACGAAGAAGCTAGCGAGCGAGCAAGCAGTTATGTACAAGAAAACCGGCGTATGCAAATTTCAAAAAAAAAAAAAAAAAAAAATTTCATGAAGCTCCACGCATGCCATTTTATTTTTATTATGTGAGGTTTTTTATGCGCGTGCGAAATTTTTGCTGGCAGTGATGCAGTCACATGTAGGCCAATACGTAAATATGCATATATGTATGTACATACTTGTACATATATTGTTTTTATTGTACTCCTCTTCATGTAATCAACGTTGTATGCTTCACTTAGTCTGCTCTGAATCCTTTGTTGTTGCTGCAATTTAAGTGCTCCTCCTTCCTCATTTTGCCTTATGCTACTTGCGCGATTTGCATGCGCTCGAAAAGCTCGTTGCAAATTTCTCAACTGTATTTGCATCAACAAACCCGCGTTGGCAAGTAACAATGTAAGCTGTATTTTATGCATTTTTCCCACCAATAAATTTTCTTGTTTATATTTTCTTGGCGCTTCTTACATTTGATTCCACAGCCAAAAAAAAGAGAGCGGCTTCATTTCTTCGAGAACTGAACGCAACACGCTTGTTAATTACTACCACTTGCTTCTCGCTGTGCTTTATAATTGAATTATTAGGCACTATTTTTGAATTTTTCTTTTTATTTATTTGCGTTTGATTTTTATTTTTTTTTATCAATTTGATTTTTTTTAATTTAAGTAATTTTTTTTCAATTTATGTTAGATTAATTTTATTTTTAATTAATTTATTTTACTTTCTTTTTTGAGTTCTTTTCATTTTTTTTCGTTTTTTATTTTATTTTGTTCCATTTTGTTTTATTTATTTTTATTTACAATTTTTGCTCTATTTTTAGTGATTTTATTTAAATTTTTCTATTTTTATTTTTTTGTTGGTTTTATTTGATTTTTTAGTTTTATTTTAATTTTTTAATTTTTTATTTTGTTCTCTTCTATTTTATTTTTCTATTTCATTTTATTCTCTTTTTATTTATTTTATTTAAGATTATTTTTATTTTAAGTTTTTTTTTTATTTGTTTACTTTTTTATTTTTATTTGATCTTTCATTTTTATTTTACATTTTATTTTATTGATTTTTTTATTTTTAAGTTTATTTTTTTATTCTCTTTCATTTTATTGAGTATATTTTATTTTCTTTTACTTTATTTTATATATTTTTAATTTTTAACTTCTTTTTACTTTATTTTGATTTATATCAATAACTGTTTGGTAGTTTATTTTTCCTAATTAGAATTTAATTAATTTTCTTTGATCTGCCTGTTTGATTAATTATTCAAACTTTTTTTATTCGTCTTTTAGTTCTGATCACTATTTTATTGTTTATTTTTATGTTTTGCTTAAGTTTCGTTTAAGTGCATTACTTGTGACGCGTAGTAAATAAAACAAATGCACTGCACCTGCTGCTTTTGAAATCAACACGCTACTACTATTATCCGACAATTACACATCCTCTGTTTTTATACAAGTATATGTATGTAGATATAGTAACCGCTTTGCCTTCATTGCTGCATTTTGGTTACTCGCAAATCCTTTTTCCCTTGTCTCTTGTACCCACTATCCTTAAAGGGGCTGCTCGTCCTCATCTATATCCTTAGTTCAATGTTCTCATTTCGTAGCTTTTATTTCTCAAAATTTTATCTGTATTTTATATTAATTTAGAATATTTTTCTTGTTCACATTCCTGCACACCTCTGCTTTTCTTTTATTTAAGAATTTTTCTTTTCTTTTTCATTTTAAAGCAACGCAGGCATCTGTTTCTGTATTTGAACTGCATTTTTGAGTTTCACGGCCAGCTTTTTTGTTATTTTTATCCATGGCATCCTCTATTTTAATAGGCTTGTATTTTTTTGAAGTTTTGTTGTTGGCGCCAAATGTACGCAATTTCCTTTTTATAATTACAAAATTTTTGTCGACGAACCCAAGTGTATATGTATATAATTTAAAATATATGTACGTGTATGTATGTCCAGCTTTTCTGCGTCAAAATCTTAATAATGAACTTTTTAAAAAAAATTCCGATTTTTCCCCTAAATTAAGTACTAGTGAAATTGTTTAATTCGCTTTAGATCCGTAAATTTATTTAGCGAAATTCTTCATCTAGAAGCAGTTTTATCTAAACCAATTTAAATGTTAATCGCAGCATTTAAGGCACCAAAATGCGCACTCCCAGTACAATTAGTATAATAAAAAAATATTTAATACTTTGAAATATTGGGTTGAGTCTACGTAACAATATTTTATTAAATCTTTGTAAACCACTATAAATAAAATTAATTTATGAAAGAAGAAATGTCTACTGATAAAGAACACCTTATATAACAAATGGAGCCACCGCCTTTCGAACGCAGTACGTTGCAACTTTCACTTCTCTAAATATTGCCTAAGCTGTGATTCAGTTTTGTGGCTTAACTTATTTTAAATAGATTATTCGATTAACATAAATGTTATTTTATGTTATGTTGTATGTGATCTACATAGAATAGTGATGTCCTTCCTCTTCTGATCACTTATAATAATAACTTTGTCCTTCAAAAACCTTTTTGATGAATTTTCAAAACATATATTTGTAAATATTATTTGCTAAATTTTTCTATATTTTTATTAAGAAATTTTCTAATTGTTTCTTTGCCTTAAACTATCTTTATTATTATATTTTTATTATTTTAAACTCTTTACTTTTATTAATGGGTTTTAAGTTTTCCTCCGCTATTGTGCGAAAAGCCCTTTCCAGCACGAATGTTGCACTTAATTTGAATTGTACGTTGCACAAACACATTTAGTAAAAAATAACATTTTAAGATCGTACACATAGCCTCAGAGGATCTTAACAATCAAATTTAAATTAATAAATTAATTAAAAAAATTGTGCTACTGAAAGACGGGCTCGGGTTCAAATCCCAGTGCCACGAACATCCAAAAGAGTTTTGGAAAATTAATTTAAAATAAAAAATTTTGTCAAATTTTCTAATTGTGGTCGCCCCTCGGCAGGGTATGAAATAAAGGCTCCTCGTAAAAAAACCATCAGTCATTCGGAGGTGGCTTAGTATAAACTAAAGGTCCCTCCATTTCTTGGAAAAACAGCAAGACTCAAAAACCACAAATTGGAGGAGGAGCTCGGCCGAAAAATCTCTTCAGCGGTTACAAATTTTATATATACATACATACTGAGAAAAAATTGTCAATTATATGATATTTCTATAAAAACAAGTAATATCCCATAGTAAAGCGGAAAGACATTGTGTCAGTTTAAAGGATATGTTTTTTTTAATATCTATTTCATTTGATCCACTTGTATAAAAATATTGCTGCTGTATTACCACAAATAACCCAAATGTAGGTGCTGAGTTAATAGTAATGCAATAAGACAAGTGTTTATTTCCCTAAAGAAAGAAGTAAACTTTAGACAAAAATGTATGTGAAAAAGTTTAATTTTATAAAATT